TGGCCCAGCTGTGAAGCGTTACCTTGTGGAGAAGGACCTGCCACTGAAGGCCTTGCTCCTCATGGACAATGCTCCTGCCCATCCTCCAGGCCTTGAGGACAACTTGTTGCAGGAGTTCAGCTTTATCCTGCCGCCTAACACCCCAGTACTCCAGTCGATGGATCAGCAGGTCATCGCCAACTTTAAGAAGAGCTACACGAAGGAGCTTTTCCGGGAGTGCTTCAAGGTGACTGAGGCCACCAACCTCACCCTCCGTGATTTTTGGAAGGAGCACTTTGATATCGTCGGCTGCCTCAAGATGATCGCCAGGGCCGGGGACGGCATCAGCCAGAGGAACTTGAACTCTCCACAACCAGGAGCTGTCCACCCAGGAGCTGGTTGAGCTGCAGGCAGAGGCTATGGAGGAACAGGCCTCTTTTGCAGATGAAGAAGAGCCAGGGGAGGAATAGCTGTCCACCAGTAAACTTAAAGATTTCTTAGAACATTGGCGACAGGTGCACACTGTAGCACAGCAATACCACCCGGACAATGCTGTGGCACATCACCTTGTGAACACTTTTGATGCAAGGGTCATATCCTCTTTCAGAGGGATGCTCAAAAGGCGGCAGAAGCAGCTGACTATGGAGAGGTTCCTCACGAAGAGGCTGAGACAGAAAGAGGAACCTGCTGCTGCAAGCAGTGGTGCCCAGTTGCCTTCTTCCTCCTCGGCATCCTCCTAGAAGACTGCTGCTGTGATGTGGGGACAGTTCTGTGTGCCTCCAGGTCCCTGCATTGAACACTGGTCCGGGTGGTTTACAGACTTCAGCCTTACTTGTTCAGTTTAAAAATGTTAAAAGTTTCTGTAATGTAATGTTTGCTGTACTGTACAGTACAATGTTAAAAGTTTCTGTAATGTCCTTAAAAATTTATGTAATGTTTCTTTATGTTTGTGCACTTCATGAAGACTTTCTGTATGTTGATGCACTTTCTAAAGAGTTTTGTACAATCCAATGATCCTGCCTCATGTTTGCTGTTTTTAAAATGTTTTTCTATGTTATTTATAAAGGGTTAAAGTTTAGAAACAAAGTTCATGCCTCATGTCTGCTGTTTTTTAAATGTTTTTCTGTTATTTATAAAGTTAAAGTTTACTGTTTAAAATGTTTGAAATCATAAAGTGCACTTAATAAACCCTTTGTTAACCAAATTTGACTTTGTTCTGATTCTTTTTTAATTTGTTGTTGTATTTTTCCCCCATTGAGATGCACTGAATACATTTCAATGCGGGAACTGCGTTTCGCTTAGCGATGTTTCCTATGGTGATTTTTGCTTAAGGACGGCAATTCGTTCCTACTTGAACAGATTATCCAGTTTTCAATGCATTTCAATGGGAAACCGCGTTTCACTTAGGGATGAAATCGCTTAGCAGCGATTTTTTTTAACCAATTAACATCGTTAAGCGAGGCACCACTGTAATTGATTCAGTTATATTGAGTGAGGATGACCTTGGGATTGTTGTAGATCAAAAGTTGGATATGAGCCAGCAGGGCGATGTGGCTGCAAAAAAAAGGCAAATGCAATTTCAGGATGCATTAACAGAAATATAGTTTCCAAATCCTGTGAGGTATTAGTTCCCCTCTATTCAACATTGGTTAGGCCTCATCTAGAGTACTATGTCTAATTATGGGCATCACAATTTAAGAATGCAGATAAACTGGAGCAAGTTCAGAGGAGGGCAACAAGAATGATCAGGGGACTGGAAACCGAGCTCTTTAAGGAAAGACTGAAAGAACTAGACTATTTAGCCTTGGGGAAAAATGACTGAGGGGACACCTGACAGCACTTTTCAAATACGTGAAAGGTAGTCACACAGAGGAGGGGCAGGATCTGTTCTCTATCATCCTGAAGTGCAGGGCATGTAGTAATGGGATCAAGCTACAGGAAGCCAGATTTAAGCTGAATATCAGGAAAACCTTCTTAACTATTAAAGCAGTACAACCATGGAAACAGTTACCTGGGGAGGTGGTGAGCACTCCAATGCTGGAGGCATTCAAGAGAAAATTGGACAACCCTCTGTCAGACCTGCTTTGACTTGGATTCCTGTTTTGAGTAGAGGGTTGGACTTGAAGGCCTTATAGGCCCCTTCCGATTCAATTATTCTATGATTCTGATTTTTAACACTCATGATACTTGGGGTTCTGTTTTCTTGGAATTACATTAATACACAGCTCCCACCAACAGTACTCAATGAAATAAAAAAGGAAATGGGAAACTTTTTTTATTAACAGTCTTGAACAAAATAATTAGATATGATTACATCCCTCAAAAAAATGACTCAACGCACTAGCAATTATAATTTTTTACTCCTGTGAAGTATAACTTAACATTCAAATAAAAATAAAAAGCAGTAAGGATCCCAGTGTCGCAACTTTGTTTTGAGGAAGGGGAACTAATACACTGTGAATTGTGATTTGCACCCTTATGCAGTATAAAAACAAAAAAAATTAAAAATTGAAAAGTTCGCAGTGGCACACTATTGGTTGGAGAAGACAGATGAAGAGTGACAGAGAACATCCCATCTCTGCTGATGTTCTAAAGGCCCTAGACGCAATCCCCAAACTGCCGTATAAAAAAACACTGCACTCAGTCCCCAAGAAGATGGGGTAGGCAGACAAAAGCAGTCAAAACCACCCCATCATCTTGTGAAACATTTTGTTGTTTGCTTTTTCCTGATCACTTTTTTAATAGAAAGAAGCTCGCCATGACAATTCTTCCATGGGGCAAATGAAACCCTGCAGGGTTAGGATGATGTGGAGCAGATGCATATCCATGTCACTAGGAGTTCAAAAGCACCGATAGCACTAGCCATGTAGTTCCAAGCACATAAAAGCAGAAGAGCTACCATACAGACCTAAGGTCTGTCCATCTGTCCCTCTGTGACACCAGGTCAGTAAGCTCCTGGCTGTGTACAAATGAATGAAGCTCAAACGTCTGAGCCCTCTTGATCCATCACCATATTGCTAATGGAGGAACCAAGGGCAGGACCCTACAGTTGTCCTAGCCTGATCCTGCCTTCGGCTAATGTACTATAACCATCCAGCCTGCCTCTTCAGTCAACTGATACTGCAGAAATGGTGACTCACGTCAACCTACCTTTTGCACAAGCCAGCATGGTCTGTTTGCCAAAACTCTTCCCCAGAATGAACTCTGCCCAGAAAAGAGGGTGCTTTCTTCCCAGGCAGAGATGGTCCTTTTCTCCCTTGCCTAGAGCAGAATAGGCAGACTACAAAGGCAGTTGGTCTGAAGGCTCATGGGTTCTCCTACAAAACATTCCTCTTCTCACCACAAGCTAGCAGTATCTGCAAATGACATCATTATGTCATGTGAGAATCAAGCCAAAAAAAATTTAAAAAGGGGGGGGGAATAAAGAATTGGAGAAAAAAAGAGGTGGAATATTTTGTTTGTAGGAAGTATAAAAGACAAGACAGGAGAATTAATCCACAAGAAACTAAATCTTGCTGCTCACAAAGATGGCCAAGCATTTTCTTCCATAGAAATGGTGCTTCCACTCATTCCCAAGGGGGAAAAATCCTTGCTTGGCAGCCACCATTTGTATGGTGACAGCTACTCTTATGTCCCCATTATTAGAGGCAGGGATCTGAACAGAGTCTTACCAATCTGTATTTTCTTCTGTAGAAGTGACCGATTGTGCACTTCTTCAGGAAAGAAAATAAATGGGCTACACCTGGAGGCTGTGATGGGGAGCAGAACCTGCCCAAGCACAAGGCCATCAGGTCCTGGGATGGGGCAAAGCTTTTGCCCCTTCAAGGGACCTCCTAACACAGCTACTTATTTCTCTGGGAGGACTGAAGCAGTTTAATTTTCTGGAAACTGAATAATGGCCACATTAGAATTTTTTATCAGACCACAACCTGTCTTACTAAGCCCAGTATACTGCCATAGAGACCCTCTATGCATTAAAAAAAGAATCTCCTCCTCTGATATGGTCAGAGAAGAGGAAGGAGAGTGTGTGTTGTGGTCTCTCTGGCTAGGGTTAGAAAAGTCCTGCACCCTGATCACATACAGGTTGTAGTAGCACATGACAGCCCCCATCATACATTGTACGATATCACTGTTCTCACAGTGAGGGGACTGCACTAGCCCCACCACCCTCCACTGTTCCTTTCAACATGCAAAAGTGACAGTCTGAAAAAGGGGAGGCTGCTGTAGCCCCGTAAGGCTCCCTGTGTTTGTGTGTGTGTCTGTGTGTGTGTGTGTGTGTCAGAGCTTCTGATTTTAGTGAACAATCTACAGACAGAACACTTTCCACCTCTTCGGACTGTCACACTCACATGTCGAAAGTGAAGATGAAAGAGGTGGGACTACTGAACTCCCTTCATCTCACGGGGAGGACAGACAAATGAAGCATGTCTGAACAGGGCTACAGAGTGACAAGCCTTACTGACAGCCACTGAGAAGACAACATCATCCTCTCCTTAGCCTTCCTGAACCTGCTTCTGTGGGCCAGCTTGGAACATGACCAAAAGAGGATAATGTCCCATCTCCTTAGCAAGAAGAATGGAGGAAAAGGCTATGACCCCCATTCTCCTTGTTATTAGTGCCTTAAGAGAGAGGTCATCAACCCCTGGTATGTGGCCCGGTGCCGGTCCATGGCCTGAGCCGAACCAGGCCACAGAGACAGACCTCCCACCCCCAGCACACACTCCCCTCCCCACAGCTGCTTTGTGCATGTGTGCCAGCGCTGGCATGAGCATTCCCCCACCCCTCCACGCATGCACCTGAGCACCCGCGCGAAGGGGTGGGTGGGCACATGCACAAAGGGGTGGGTGCTCCCCCACCACTTGAAGCATGCACCCGAGAGAGCACACACTTGCACGAGCGCAGGGGGTGGTGGTGCCCCACCTTACTCAGAGGCTCAGCCCGTCCATGGTCCCAAAAAGGTTGGGGACCGCTGCCTTAAGAGCAGGCAAAAGTTCTGCTCTCTCACCTCTGTTAAGCTTCCCTCTGGCAATGCTACTAATTCTGGCTATGATCTGGAGAATCTGACTCACCCAAAATATTGTCTTAGCTTTGTGGAATGCTTTCTTGGAAGAGCATGAGAAACTGTGTGCAATTCCAAATGCATTTCAAAACAATGGAGTTTCAAAATTCACATTTCAGTGGGTGATGTTTTAAAAATGAGTTCAAATCTTCCCAGGGCTTGTCAAACTAGTTTCACAAGTGTTTCTTTGGATCAAGGGTTCTGACTGTCACTCAGGGAAAAAAACGTGTGGTGTAGTGTTGTGTGTGCTAATCTGGAAAGCAGGAGAGGTGGGGAACATAACTCCTGTTTTCCTGCTCTGCCCTATCCACACTGTGACCTAGATATCTGAAGGCTTTTATGCATGTGTGGTGTTCTAGCCATTAAAGTGAATATTTAAACCTTCGCAAATGCCTGCACATGAATGCCAGCAAAATACAAAACATACTTTATGAATGTCAACAATCAGATACAGATTTCTTCAATTTGGGGAGAGAGACACAGAAAAGCCAACACTCACATTTATGTGCTCCAAGTTTTCAGATGTCAACATTTATCTGAGGTTGTCATAATTTACCTGTGACGACTGAGAACCCTCCAGTTTTGGATAGATATGTGTGTGTGTGTGTTAATTCTGTCACTATGTTGGACATTAAAGTGGCCAGCCAGTCTTAAAAGCTCACAGGCAAGAGAATCATGTACAGCTCATTCTGCACTCCACTGCTCTAAGACCACATTCAGTTTCAAAATCTGTTTCAGCAAATGGGTGGCAACTGCTGAGATTAGCCAATGCAGTCCTGATAGTCCAAGACTCAAATTAAAAAAAAAAAAAGGAGAATGACATACAGCCAGAATACATTGCTGGGAGAGATGGCACTACTCAGGCCCCCTTTTCTGCAGGGGCAATACTGCACATCTATGCTATCATGACAGGAGAGGCAGGACTGAGTTACAAACTGTGCCACCCTTACTGACCATGAAACAGGGATTCTGCTGCTGGAGTCCATATATCTCCCAGTTCTCCTATGACCCGAGCAGTTTCTTTGCCCATGGCAATGCAAATAAGGTTTCATTAAGTTATACAGAGGTTCCCAAGTGAAAAAAAATCCTACTTGGGAGGGGGACCAAGATGCTTCTACCCAATGCCTGAGGGAAATGATGTTCGTGGGTTCAAAGAAGTGCAAGAAAGGAATTTCAGGAACATGCGCGTATTTCAGGTGTTTTCATCTTATTTTCACTAAAACAAAATCTTATAGAAAAATAGACACATTTGCAAAGTGGCTTCCCACTCTGAGAAACCTTACTGGTTTCCCACCATCACCACCACTGGGAGGTTAGATATGTTGGCTTGCATGGCACGACAGCTGCAAAAGCAAAGGGGCCCAAGTTTATTTGAAGCTTAAGGGGCAGCTTCCAGACCCTGTGCTGAAGTCACACAAGGGATGTTGCCACATAACAATAAATGTACATATTCTTCCAGTAGTGAGTCCAGCATGGACAGTACACAGCAGAAAACCACAAACCCATAATTCATTCCTTTGGACCTGCAGTTAGCACTTTTCACTCAGACTCGGGGAGATATGTGCCACCTCTGCCTTGAAGCTGAGCAGTGCAGAACCACCAGTTATTCCTCTTGGCTCAAAAGCCTGCAGAAGCAGATGCAGCACACTGCCCCTCCAGCTAACTGTCAGAATACAAGCCACACTGTTTCTCAAGAGTTCACTGAGAGCGTCATTTTTTACAGTGGCAGAAAGAATTCCTGTTAAAAAAAAGGGAGGAATAGCAGCACAGCCAAGCAGCAAAATCATCTCAACGCAGATGAGAGAACAGAAAGAGAACCTTCTCCCTAACACTCAGCACAGCCCTGCCACCACAGCAACACAGCGATCCCAAAGACATTTTCTTTTCCAGTATTAGGCCACAAGTGGGAAAAGGAGAAAGCTGCGCTGCACAGTAGATGAGATGAAGGGGGGAAAAATATGAATCCAGCTAAGATGTCTGATCCAGGGTTTCCTCCCACAGAAGAGTGCTGGGGAGAACCAGCTCCAGCACTGCTGCAAGCTGGCTTTTTCAGAGGGGCAGGGATGTGCCAACAGCCCAGGCTGCCCCAATAAAATGCTGGCTGAAAAGGTCCTGGTTAAGGCAGTTTGCTGCATTCTTGCTTTGGCAACATCAGTGCAAGAAGATGGGTTGACCTTCAGACTTTCCTTCTGGGCTTCTTTCCCCCTCTTGAGATGCCATACCATCCACACCTGCCTGCAGGGGGAGGGGTGCTTAACGCAGCATCTGTCTGTCCCCTTTGCTCCAAGTACCATTCACGCTCAGCCAAAAGCTCTGATTTGAGAAAGGCAGATGGCAGATTCAAGATGAGATGTACGGGATAACAAAAGGCTCAAAGATGTTGCAAAACAGTCCTAAAAGGGGCAAGGCAGAATTGATTGCTTTATTTCCCATGCCCATGAAAAATAAAGGAAAATTTAAAAATGATTGCAAAGTGACTCAGTGTTGTTCTGATTCCTCTGTAAAATGCCTCTTGTCCAAGGTTTTAGTCCTAGCCTGGCACTGAAGTCTAGTTCTGGCGGCTGCTTAACCCCTTGGTGGTTTCATCAGGAGCTTCTTCAACAGGGACTCCTCCCCCATCGTTGTCCTTTCTTAGCTTGCTTCCACCCAGAGCATCTTCCCTGGTCAGCTCTGAAGCTAGCAATGAGGTGACAGCACAGCCAATTTTTCTATTTGCTGTAGGTGGAAAAAGAAAGAAAAAATTGGTAAGACAACTCAGAAAATGTAGTTCAAGCCTGCTTTGCAGGATATGCTGCTGCCTCTGCTTTGTGTTGCTATGGGGAAAGAGGGACAGGGAGAGCTGAAATCTGGAAGACAGCATACCAGCCAAACCCCTCAAACTACCATTTCACTTTGTAATTACTCACAGGAGACACAACGGCTTTCAGCACTCCAACAAAGGATATGGGCAACTTATAGGGAGACACAAATGTAGACAGATACATTAAAAGCTGTGATTTTGAAATATGCAGAGCCTTTAGATGTATAATTTCCAAACTGTGTTAGATTTCTCTTGAAAGCTTTTTTGCTAAGTTGTCTGAAGCATCCCTATCCTTGGCACAATTTCAACCTGGCGAAAAGCAGCATTGTGGAGAACACAAAACAGATCTTCAGTCTCAATGATTGTTGACAGAGTTTCTGCCACAAAAATATGCAGAGGGAGGAACCTAATTATTCTTACCTGAAGGCCTCAAGCAAGGAACAGTTTTTACGAGGACCTCATAGCCCCTTGTGAAAAAGCCAAATAATTGCTTCCAGTAATCTTACTTTTCTGGGCAGTTAACTTCCCATTCCAATAAACAGAAGAAAGATTTTATGTAGGCAGTTTGTGTCTTGCCATCCCTACCTTGTCTTCAACCAACTCCACACAGTCATTGCAATTAGTAACTGCCAGTGGAAAAACTGTGATCCAATCAAGAGAAATGATGGCAGAAAGGCACCAGTTCTGTGGTGGTGAACACACTCTTTTCTTTTGTCATGATGTCACTTCAAAACAATTAGGCTTTACAAGTGGAGGTGAAAAGGGAACACACCAGAAGCAGTAGCAACCACCTTCCATTTTGTGAACAAATTATCATCTGTCTCAGTGAAGATGACCAAATTGGTTGCTGCCTCTTCATCCCAATTAAAATCCATGCTACGTTTTAGTAACATCCATGGGAATAGGGTTACAATCTGGAAAACAGACAATTTGGCTTGGGGACTGTGAGATATATACAGAGTGGATTGATCCAGGGAAGCTCAAAGGCAGGATAATTTTAGCCCAAGACTACCTACAATAGTATCTCCAAGGATCTTTTTCTGTTTGAGAATTAAGAGTTGATTGAAGCCACAAAATTCTATTAATCCCAAATTCAATGGAGATACAGAAAGCATAACAAACATCTATCAAGAATGCAATTCCATGATGCTGCAACTTAATCCCTGGATCAAATCTGCTTTGAGGATGTGTACTGAGACACATATATACTGCAATAAAAGAGGAGATGGATGGACAAGAAGCCAAAGAGAGGAAGACAGTGACCCACCAAGGCTCTAATCCCCACTCTTATAGACAGTCCACACACAGAAAAAATGGCAAGGTTTCTGCCTCTCCCAGTCTCTCTCTACTGTACGTCATAGCAGCCTGCAACGAAATTTGTTTACTTGAACAAGCTGGTATGTAATAAACCATAATAACCAGGATTGACCTTAATGCAGAGTTTGAAGATAAAATTGAATAATTATTTGGTACATTGTGGCATGAAAAACAACAGCTTCTGATTCCATCCTCATGGCCATGCACCACCAAGATACATATGAACTTCAGGATGGGTAGTAATACATCACATTTTCTTATTCTCTCTGTCTGAGACCAGTGAATGCGCTGCGACAAAACGCTTTCTGGTAAAACTGCATGTATCTCTGCTCCCATAGTCAAAGAATGAAATAATGAAAGGAAAAAAAGAAAGAATGAATGAAAGGAAGGAAACAAACAAACATCACTACCACTTTGGTTTGGTAGACTAAAGGACTATAGCCATTATTCCCTCTAAGCTGCACAGAAGCTGTGCATCTGCAGCCAGTGTTGTGGCTGATCTGGTTCCAGTTGTGGCCAGAACCCCCTGCGTGCAGGGCAGGAGCCCTATCCAGCAAAGGTGGAAAATTAGATGGAACAATGGCTATAGCACATGGAATAGAACTGATGCACTTTTATTATATATTTATGAAGAAGAATGATATTACTGAAAGCTAAGTGCCTCATCCAACTGATTCTGGAAGAGTGACGAAAAACACAGTTTTCTGATTCCAGAGATAAAGTTTTTCTGCTAATGCTTGTGTCACATAAATACGATAATTAATGTGACACAAGCATTAATCATGCTTTATGCATAGGATTCTTGGTAGGGCAGTTCATTGGGACACTGCTACAGTGGTGCCTCAACTTACGAACGCCCCTACATACGAACATTTTGACTGGTTGCAAAAATTTGCTCCGACTTGCGAACAGAGCTTTGACTAACTTAAACGTGGGGAAGGCGGGGAAGGCGGAAAATTTGAACTTTTAGTTAACCGTTGGCCAGCGAAGAGGCTGCTTGTCTGCTACCTCGCTCACCCCAGCAGTTAGAGAGTGTGGAGACGGAGAGAGACTTCAGACTGCCTGGTACTGCCTGGTACTGTACTATACGTAGTGTATTTTTTCAAGCTTTTTTAATTTTTGGATTTTTTACTTTCTTTTTTAAAACAGAGTCCGCCTGTTCTTGGTGAGTACACTGTATTTACTGTACAGGGGTTTTGCAGCTTTGGTTTGGGCTAGATGGCGGGTTATGTTTCTGTGCTCTGATGGGTCTTGCAGACCCTTTCTGCAAGGGTCTGTGCTGGCTGTTGTGCTCTAAAATGGAGTTTCAACTCAAGTCTCTCCCCCCCATTGTCTTCTCTCTCTCTCTATGCTCCCCAGGTGCTTGGTTTGGTTTAAAATGTGTTTTGTTTAAAAGGTGCTTAGTTTGGTTTAAAAGGTATTTGGTTTAAAATGTGTGGGTTTAGCATATGTGGGTTTAAAATGTGTTTTAGACTCCAAACTCTCTCCCCCATTGTCTTCTCTCTTTTTGTGCTTAAAAACGTTTGTCTGAGGGGTCTGTGTGTCCTAGTGATGACCTTCTTTCTTTCCTCTTTTCCCCATTGTCATCTTAGGTTTTTAAAAAATTCTCCCCTTAGTGGTAGAGGACGGATTAATCGGTTTTGCATTTGTTCCTAAAACCGGAGCCTCTACATACAAACAAAAAACAGCTGAAACGGAATGATCGGGTTTCAATGCATTTCAATGGGAAATGCTCATTCGACTTATGAACATTCCGACTTGCTAACATCTTCTGCGATGGATTAAGTTCGTAAGTCGAGGCATCACTCAAAAGAGGCACAATCCATTTAAGTAAAGAAATCTCTGACAAACATACTTCAAATGACACATGTTTTTGAATGGATTGGACTGACTGGTGAATGTTTGGGAGAGTGTAAATGTACATTCTCTTAAAGTGTATCCTCACATCTTTGTTCGTTGGGACTCCCATGCATTGCTCAATAGTTTTTTACGTCTATATCCTTATACACTCCTCTGCATCAAAGTTCTGCACTCCAGATAATGCTCTACCATTTGGTTCCATGCCTGTGCTCACCCCACACAGGCAGAAGAAATGAACAATACATTTGATATGGAAGGAACAGGTGTAAGTATGATTCTGAAGCAGGAACATTTGTTAAGTTGTGGTGATACCGCTAAAGGCTGGTGAACATCTTAATTCACAAACTTTAAGGATCATGTGAGACTTTGGCTGGTGGCTGAGCCATGCCCCCCCCCCCCAAAATGGAATAGTCACTTCTGGTCTATCAATAGTTCCAAGGATAGCAAATGACAAATGACAGAAACATGCAGACAGAGGGAGTAAAGTATATATAACTATCATGCACACAACCCTTTCAGTCCGAAAACCGCCTCCAAGTAAGTCTGTTTCTTGCACCATGCACATATACATCCACTAAAACACAAAACATGTACAATATACAGATCAGGAACCATGCCACGTATGCCACATTTATACACTTATGGTACCATATAACAATGCACATAAACCTGCTCACATATCAAAAACCTGTTCTTGGGGACAAGTGAAACATCTGTGGTTGGTGGCTTGAAATGCTGCAGTTTCATGGATAGCTGATTTCACCAGACACAAAAGGGACATGTTTTTATGTATCTGACAAGGGCTTTCAGCAATGAAACAGACTCTTGAAAAGAGCAACACAAAGGCCATGTGATGTGATCATAGGAAAACTTTCAACTCTGAAATACCTCCTGTTACATGCCAGTACCTGTTCTACCTCATACTCATTCCCAGGAAGCCATTTCTCCTTTGCATCCTGTGTTGCACTAGACTGTAACCAAGGCCTCCTCATAAACCTCTTAGAGCTAAAGTCACCTGCACTCTTCCCCCGCATGACATTATGGGCAAGACAAGTCCTTAAACCCTTGCATGAATTTCCCAGAATATCTGCTTATTTCACTTGTTCTGCTCCATCCAAGAAAACAAATTCTGCTCCTCAAACCACTGAAAGGCAACGGCAATAGTCCTCCTTATTACTATTCACACCCTCCTCTGTAGATTTTGCTCCAGATTTCACTTCAGGCCCAAGTTAATCCTATGCAACTCCCTATTCCCCACCCCTGCATCCTTGCTTTTAATGAAAATCAGCCACCAAGCCTGCCTAATAGGAGTAAAAGAAAGAGAAGTGGGAAAGGGGGAAAGTTAAAATACTGTCCACTGTTCTCTTTTGCATTCCATATTGGAGCCTCCGGGCAGTAGCTTTTCATTAAAGATAAGATGGAAAGTGGAGAAAGAACCCCATATAAAGTGTAGCTTTGTTAGCTTGGTTGCTTAATAATCTGTGCCTGCCCTTTTAATACTTTAAATAACTTTGCAGATGGGTGAGGTTGAAGTTGACTCCAAACCACCAAATTTAATCTATGGGGTAATCTGTACTCTCTTCTCTGTAACTGTTGCTAAATTGGTCATAGCTATACCGTCACCCCTCAACTCTCTGACTTTCAGCTTACGTATCTGCAGACTTTCGAACATGCAAGGATAATCCCCATTCCTCTCCTTGAAGGTCAGTCTTTGAGAAATGCTTCCTGAAATGGAGCT